GTGTAGTGACATCGCTGGATGTCACCATGCTGTAAGTGCAGTACCAGCCCTAGAGGGGCACGGTGTATGTGTAGTGACATCGCTGGATGTCACCAGGCTGTAAGTGCAGTACCGGCCCTAGAGGGCATGGTGTGTGTCGACCTAAAGGGAAGTTCGGGTAAGGCCATGACAGCCTGGTTAACCCGGGAGGACACGTGACCGGTTACAATGACAGAGGGGCCCTGAGAAGGGGCTGTGAGGGTCACGTGATGGGAACCGAGGTTCTTCCTGAAGGTTATGGAAAAGGGGCGTGGCCAGGGGCGGAGTCGGCCACGCCGGAGAGCAATATAAGCCAAGTCCCGAGAGAGAGCTTGGCTGTCCGTCCTGGGGAAGAAACCCTTCGTCTACGATCTCCGATCTTCAAGTCTTCCAGCACGTGGACCCGGGCAGTATGCTGTTGGTCCCGGTCCGAAGTTGATAGTTATCCTAAAACTTGCGTAGTTAGCCAGGGTGTTCACCACCCTAGGTCTTTGTCTTGTTAAGGGGTAATGTTACCCTGTTGTGTTGAAGTAATAAATGCGCTGCCTCCGAGTCTAAGTGTGCGGCTCAGTTGAACCCATAAGGGAGACAGGGGATATGAAAGGAGATTTGGCTGCATTGTGTTACAAAACACTCGGACGAACCAGGCCTGAGGTTGACATGAGGAAAAACGTCCACCAAAGGAGTGGAAGAGATCCTGAAACCTGACCCCACTTCCAGAGAGGTGGGGAAGGCCACCAGGCCCCGGGGTGAGGAAGAGATGGACGGGCATGGAAATGAGGGATGGTGAGCGGGTGGTAGAGTGGGAGGGATAAAGCAACGTCGCAAGACTGCCGTTGCGGAGGGGGGGGGGGGATGTGACACATTGAATTGGACCCCTGCCCTCTGCTGCCCTTGTTAGCTCACACTTGCCCTGTTAAGTCAGTGCCTACATGTGAGGCAGCCAGGAGACACATTCGCTGGTGTGCACATTCTTGAGCTAATATGCCAACGACGAGAGATATATTACACAGACAGATTGTGTGGGTAGGAGGCACGTTCCCTGGGTAGAAAAGCGCATCTCTGATATAATGCGGATCAGCATCATCAGCCATGATTAATCCACTGCTGGCTGAAAGTCTCCCCAAGCCACTGCTACCTCTCATTATTCTACTATGCAATTATCCAGCAATAACATAAACAAATCAGTTGCTAATAATAATCATGCAATTTGTAATGTGCTAAATATATTTCACAGACACAAATTAATTTGTCTCTTGAGGTGCGGTAGCCAAGGTCTGTCCGCGTAACTCGAAAGCCGGAAAATAAGAAAGCTCGAGCCTCGAGGCGTCTCTTGAAAGTCGGCGTAGATTGAACGCTGCTGTCGCTGCCGCCGGCAGTGTGCAGTGGGATGATGGCATTCCGGACGGCGTGGGCTGCCACGGAGAAACGACGTCCAACGGTGAGAGCCCCGGCCCTCGGTGTAGAGGCTGGGTGGGCGGGGGGGGGGGACTCAGCTGTAATCAGTCGATTGCCCTCAATGCATTGTGATACAAATGTCTTTGACAGCGGACGTCCAATCAATTTTTTTAGCGAATGCTTTTGCACGTGACTTTCATACAGTGAGAGCACCAGATACACAAGGGAAAATAAGTAATTAAATGCGCGCATATGTGGGTCGGCGGTATATTGTGAGTGGATATCAGCCTGCATAGTCACAGCCTCCTCCTCGACATCCAGTAATCCGCATTGATATGCGGGGACCATAGCGCAGGTTCGATAATCCGCGGCGCACCACGAAGGTGAGACCCATAATCCGTAGGCACCAACGTGGTGTGTCGCGGATTACGGGAGGAATTAGCCACATGATATTCATTCATTATGGGTAAGTGCGGAAAATGACTGGTGGATAAATTAATCCACTATAATTCGCAGATACAAGGTTAAGAATAGATAATGGTACAATTGTAAATGTGTGATTGCTCACCAACACAACAGTAACGAATTGGCATGTTTTGTTTACGTTACAAACCTTACTAATTGGCTGTGTCGGTTGGTGGCAGGTTTAACGACACATTTATATTTACGCAATGTAACCCTCCAAAAAAACCTTTTATGGAAAATATTGGTCGCGAAAGCCCTTGTTAAACCAAGGTTAAGAACGTTATCAGGTCCAATTGGCACAAATCTGACAATTTTACGTTAAATGATTGTTTACATTTATTAGTCTTGTAAAGAATAAAAAGACTAAAAAAAGTAAAAGTCCTTTGCGACAAAAAAAAAGTCACGTCAGCACAGCTCGTATGTGCTGACGTAAATGAACTTTTTTTTTTAATAAATGAAAAATCGAAACCTTATCTCGGGTCATTTTCCTGCAGCTTCGCTCTGCAGATCCTTGATAGCCCCCACTCCACTTCCGTGGGTCACGTTTTGTGCCCCCCCTTCAAGCGTTTCTGTTCCGTCGTGGTGTGCGTCGGATTATATAATCACAGGAGCAGTCATGAACCGTCATTACATTTGTGAGTTGAGTTACAGGGATTCACAGGACCCTTGCATTCTGCTGCATTTCTCAACGGTCTAAGGTCAGCCAACCAGTAATGTATCCCATGTCGTCCTGACGGTCCTTCTGGTTGCGATGAGATGACGTTTGTCGTTCTCTGGTCATTTCCGCAGCAGCAGGAGCTTGCGGAAACGTGGTCAGATAGAAACTCGTTTTATGAACTTATATATAAATACATTACACTGCATGAATCATTTAAAGGTGTACTTATATCTATCTCGTGATATGATGAAGCAACGCTTGAGCTGTACACTCATATTTCGGTCCAATAAAATGAAGGAGCACATGTAAAAACGAATTTCTGGAAATGAATACAAATAGAAGCACAGTACCTTCACTATAAACACACTTTATACTTAGCTAGAAAAGGCGTATGGATATTAGAATTATTATGTACAGTATGGCGTGGTGGTGTGGTGGGTTGATGGCGTGGTGGGGGTGTGGGGTGATGGCGTGGTGGAGTGGTGGGATGGTTTGGCCGGTGAGGTAGTTGTACAGCGAGTCACACTGCAACATGAGTCTAGTGAACCAAGTTCAATTCCCAGCCTTGGGTATCATCATCGGTCGTAAATATGTGAACTGGTCATGGGCCGTTCACTTTACCTACCCGCACTGACCAACGCGGTGAAGTATGTCTAAGCAACCGTCACAACCGAAACAACGTGTGGAGCAGGCCTTCCTCCTGCAGTCGTTTGAAGGAGGGCTGCAGGTTATGATTTAGTGCATTTAATATATAAAACTTAAGAAAAATTAGGCACGGAGGCTTAGGAATATTACAACTCGTAAATTAACCTTATGGCGGTACCCCAGGGTACCATAGTACCCCGGCTCTCACGTAATGTCCGTGATGCAGTCATTTTTAGTCTGTTGATGGTTGGCGATGCGGCAATCGACTCATCTCGACGAGCTGTACTCACGATGCACCACTACGGTGCGTACGAGCGTTCAGGGTTTCAGCGCAATCGTCCTCGCTGTGTGTCGACATCGCGGAGTAGCACTGATTTCGGATTGAGTGGTACCCCAGTCGCGGAGTGAAGTACACCCCTGGAAAAATAGTGTCCCAGAAATAAAATGTTTAATTGCCTCGGCCATTTTGTATTATTTGGTACCCTGGGGTTACCGCCATAAGGATCAAAAATTCATTATCGTGAACCGAGCAAGGCATTGAAGAGGGGTGCGTAGAGGTGAATGAAGAGGAGACCCCAGAAACTGTGAGTGTGCTCGTGTCCGGCTCTTGTGAAGGGAGTGATGAATGTTGAACTTCTTTCGCACCGTACGTAGCCAACCGTGCTAAACGGAGGTGGCGTGGGGGAGCGGTAGTGTGTAGTGGTTAGCGTGCTGCACTACGAACCCAGCAATCCGGGTTCAATTCTAGCTGACGGCCAACACAAGTGACCATTATCTTAACCGGTCCTAAGCCGCCCCTAGGCCGACTCAGCCTCAAATGAGTACCTGATGCCATGTGTAAACAGCGCCATTGGTGACAATGGTTGTGGGTCGTGGTGCTGGCCACCCATCCCATCGTGTACCGTGCCGGCCTTCATAGGTGCTCGCTGAAAGCACTTGCCCCAAAATCTGTGTCGTTTGGTATCAGTGGCAGTGGCCATGATCACATCTTAATCGAGTGAGGCAGACGATGCCTCAATGACATCGGACGACTGTGGACTGATTCTGCTACGTGGGTAAATGTCAGTCCATTGCCACTTATATTGTTTTCCATTGCTTTTTTTATGTAAGCTGCAAAGGGCACTTTAGCTGTTACCCTGCGTGTCATGCGCCCGTTCTCTTTCGTCTGAGATGAGTAATGATGATGGATGATCCTCTCGCAAATGTTAATTAGTTATCTCTGTGCGTAACCTTTCAGCCTCTGAAAAACAAGCTGGGAAAGCCAATGCGGTTAGGGAACGAGTGCGTGCACATTTACATATTCGCACGGTGGGGGTTAAAGCGTCCCCAGAGTGAAAACCTAAGGATGTTGCATTAACCTAACACTTTTGTTCGAAATAACAATAAAAATCTATGCTATGCATGAGGTGCACATTTGGCATTATGTGCAGTGATACCACAGGGGGACTTTGAAACTTCCCAAGGGCACTCCCATAATTTAAAGCATTTTGAATGATGGCCTAATTAAATAAAAACAACATAAACTCTACTTTAAATATCAATACAATTTCAACATCTGGGGTCTCCAGGGGGGAGGGTGATTGCCCCTCTCAATACAACTGCCTTCCCGGGCAGTGCCGTGGTTTGGGATGTAATCTCCACAGTTTGACGACTGAAAACTAAAATTCCTGTCACTGGCGCCAAGATCTCTTTACAGTAGCCCGAGTGCAGCTCAACACTCGTCGGAGTATGGAGACACTTCAAGTTGCCCCCCCCCGGTTGTCCCCACAATGCCTGACGAGCGCGCGGTCCTCTCTCCCCCCACGGCGCTCGGCAGAGAGCGTGCAGAACGCCACGGGCCCGCTGCTCGTCGAGATACGCAAGACATCCGGGGCCAACCTGGGCATCTCGCTGTCCAAGGAATCGTGCGGAATGAAGCAGATCTTCGTCATCGACAAGATCCGGCCGGCCAGCATCGCCGAGAGGTGCCACACCGCCACCCACCACCCGCCAGGGCCATGCTCCGCAGGCCCGCCGGCCGGTGTCCCGCTAGCGAAAGAGTCCCGATGATTATAATTATTAATGGTTAGAATACAGATGTACAGTAATCCGTTATTTGCTCCCACTCTCAAAAATCACTTTTGGCAACGTTTTATTATGAGGGGCGCCACGGTGGCAAGATGTTAACTACCTCGCTCGGTATACAGGAGGTCGTGGGTTTGATCCCGACCCTGATGCCTGTTGTATATTTGGAGTTCGCGTGTCTCTCTCCCTGTGGTCGTGTGTATTTTTCTCCGGGTCCTCCGGTTTTTGCCTCCACATTTAGAATCAATATGCGTTTCGAGCATTTGGCTGCTATACATTTCCATGTGATGAGCCACTTCGTTAAGCTATCATTTGTGGCGAGGTTGCTTCTGAATAAGAGCTACATAGCTGAGTAGGCTTTACCTGATAAAATAAAACATTTTTTTTTTATTAACAGTACTGGCAACCCCCGTTCAAACGTACTTTTAACCAAACCGAGCTTCTGCACAACAATTATTTCACAGCTACGCAACTACTGACTCAGCACCGAGCCAACCATGCGTTGCACCACTGCATCCGTAAAGGTTCCATCATCAGCACAAATCTGCATTTGCATCGCCTCGTTGAACAGAGAAAATAAAATACCATGATATTTGTCCAAAATGTTGTGGGTGTCACTCAGCCATATTTTAAATGTGCTGGGAGGGGGGGGGGTGTCCGGGTCCCCCCACGAAACCCAGAGTGGCTGCAGCCGTGCCACCCATGCCACTGCTTATGAAGCTAAAGCACGGGGAGCGATCGATGAGGATTTTTTTTTTCAATTCAATTACTCACGCGGCCCGCTGACATCAGGAGCGGTAAAGTACCGAAGCCCTGCGCTGCAGCGTCGCGGGCTGAATGATGTGTGGTAATTACTGAGAACTGCTGTGTTCCTGCTGATGCGCTGACAGCGGGTGACAAATGGTCTTTATCCAAAAACAATGCCTCATCAGCGTAATGAGCCATGCGGCCGTGTCAGCGACGCGCGTGGCTCGTGCGGGGGGCGCGAGTGAGTGAGCCGGGGCTTTTCAGCTGCATGCCATGTCGGGCCGCTTGTGAGGGGACAGCAGGAATCCCATCGATCGTTATCGGACGTTTTCGCAAGGCTTACGTGAGATGGCACCGTGTTCCAATGCGAGCAGAAATGTTATGGAAACGCGGCCGTCTGTGACAAGCCGGCACCAGACATTTTTTTATTTAAGCAGACGTTCGGTTCGTGACGAACGTTGGGATTCGTACTGAAGCAATTAAGCAATTTGATTAATTGCTCTACGCGTGCAAATGTTTTGCATGTGAGTACAAAAAAAATACATCGCGCACTGGAAATGTTCACGAATTCAAAAACCTGTGTGAGAGGTTATGCTTTGAAAGATGTGTATCCCCATACTCTTTGGTTCTTTCAGTAAAGTCACGTCGATAGAAAATTTATGTGACTTTACCGAAATAACCTCATTTCACCTGCGAGCAATGCAAAAAAAACTCTGGAAGATAAGATGGACAATTTTATTTTATAAAATTTGTTACAATTTTTAAAATTGTAAAAGTTTTTAATTTTAAAATGTTTTACAATTTTCAATATTATTGAAAAAATATATATCATATATGAAAAATGTTGCGAAAATCTCTTACACATTCGTCATCGGTGAAATAGATGTATTTTTTTACGATGGTACAGAGGGGAAAACAGAGCCATCAAGTTCGCTATCCCAAGAATTTGGAAACTACTGACCACTCAAGCAACTGCTACTTCTGCATAATGCACCTGCTATAACGTATCCGGACCTTCCTTTATCCATCGCCCCGATGCCACACTGCCATGAACTCCCCGTACCTACTCCTCCGGCGAGAGAGCAGCCGTCTTTAGAAGAGAGCAGAAAGTCAGAGCGAGGAAGGCGTTTTAGATCCAGATGACAATTTCAGAGGTGGAGCTGAGGAGAGAACCAAAAAGGCCTCAAAGACTTGATCAGAGATCTTGGTCTCACCAAGTCCAATGCCGAGATTTTGACGTCTAGACTCAAGCAGTGGAACATGTTGGATGAAAGTGTGCGAGTCGCAGATCAGAGGAAGCGTCACCAACCTTTTTGCTGATTCTTCACCCGTCAAGATGGGCTCTGCTTCTGCCACAATGTAACCAGTCTGTTCGAGGTAATCGGAATCACCTGTAACCAGAATGAGTGGCGCTTCTTCATTAACAGCTCATCCTCAAAGCTGTGCTGCTCCATAATGGTAACAAGTACCCATCTCTTCCCCTGGCTCACTCAGTGCACTTCAAAGAGCATTCCAACAGCATCAAGACCTTGCTGGACGCCTTGAAGTATGACGAGTACAGCTGGGAGGTCATCGGAGACTTCAAAATTGTGGAATTCGTGATGGGTCTCCAAGACGGTTTTACAAAGTTTCCCTGCTATCTTTACCTTTGGGATAGCAGGGACACCAAGGCTCACTACCACAGGTGGGACTGGCCACAGCGGACATAGTTCTCTGTGGGGAGGAACGTCAAGTGGGAGCCACTAGTCGACCCCCGGAAGGTGCTGATGCCACCACTGCACATCAAATTGGGCCTTATGGAACAATTTGTCAGAGCTGTAGATAAGGAGTCGGCAGCCTTCAAGTACCTTCAAGACTTCTTCCTAAGCTGTCTGAGGCAAAGGTCAAAGCCAGTGTCTTCGTCGGACCACAGATAAAGATGATCCTGGAGAGCAATGAATTCCCCAAGAAGCTCACTAGTAAGGAGAAAGTGGCTTGGGACAGCTTTGTCGCAGTGGTTCGTGGCTTCCTGGGCAATCACAAGGTCTAAAACTATGTGAAGCTGGTTGAGACTCTGGTGAAGAACTACGGCACAATGGGCTGTAGGATGTCCCTCAAAGTCCATATCCTTGATGCTCATCTTGATCAATTCAAGGAGAATATGGGAGCGTACTCGGAGGAGCAAGGCGAGCGCTTCCACCATGATATACTGGACTTTGAACGCCGCTACCAAGGACAGTATAACGAGAACATGATGGGAGACGACATTTTGGGGCTGATTCGTGAAAGTGATTAACGGTATAATCGTAAATCTCGAAAAACTACTCACTTCTAAATCTTTTGTAGTAATTGTTTTTATTACTTTAGTATAAATACATATTAATTTTGATTAATATGTTGTTTTCTGACTTTACGTGAACGAAAAGACACAAATTCGCCGTTTTCTCATTGAAAATAGGTACATTTCTAAATATCACTGTCCTGGTCACAAAAGCAAAGTTTGTGGGGACAATAGCCATTTTCTATACTTTTTAAGCATCAGCAATAAAAAATATAATACTTACTACCCAGGGACAAAAATTATGTTCCATAGTGTTTTCAGCACAACTTTGCCCCTGGAATACTCACGCACATCTGAGAATACAACTCCACACAAATATCCACCATGTAGCCTTTTCAAGACTGTTGGGGCAAGTGCTGTGAGCTAGCACCTATGAATGCCAGCACAGCACACAAGGGGGTGGGTGGCCAGCACCACGCCCAGCCACCTTTGTCTCCACAGTGGCGATGTTTACACATCACACCAGATACTCGTTTGAGGCTGAGCTAATCTCGTTGTGCAGCGTGCTAACCGCTGCACCACCAGTCCCCCAAAACACACACAGGTCAGCAACCCGCTTTCTGAGCAGCTTCTACCAGCCCCTCATTGTCCAAACTACTGAGTGCCTGAAACACATCATCGTGTTTCTTACTACAGAGGACTCTTATTCCTCTTGTCAAAGTCTCTGGCTTAATGAATGGCTTGTCCTACTGTGGTGGTGGTGGTGGTAGTAGGGAGCTGCCACAGTGGTGTGACGGTTAGCAGTGAACTGAACTTGCAATCCGGAGATCGCTAGTTCAATCCCATCTCCCGGCGGCAGCATTCGAAACAATGGTACAAGTGCCTTAAATTCCCTCCGCCCCTCTGTCCACCCAGCAGTGTAAATGGGTGCAATGCAACTTAGTCAATCGGCAGGTTGCATGTGGTGGGATAAAGTGTGGGAACTCCCACCTCTTCAAACACATCTGGTTGGTGTGGAAAAGTAGACAAAACACTGGTTACTCTTGAAAACCCGAATTGTTCATGATCAATGAGTTTATAAAGGTATTTTATGTCGTTCTCGGTTACCATATAGATTTACATGTCATAGTAGTTATTTTATATTGGTAGATTCATACATGATTATTCACCAATGACTCTCATGTATGATATAATTTCACACATTTATAAATCACCTCACGAACTCCCTGGGACATTGCCACGTAACTCCCAGGGGTCCGTGTACTCCCAGTTGAGAACCACTGGACTAGTGGAGGCCCTTCTGCCAGCAATGGCACGATCAAGCAATTGCAGGGATGCACCTTTACCTCTTATCACTGTCATGACCCAGGGGAGATTTGAAGCCAGTGTATGGGATACTGTGAGATCAGATCTTGGAGGTGAGTCTCAAACTTGCAACAGCCTTGGGCTCTTGGAGAAGGATGGAATTGATGGTGAAATCTAGTGGCATCTTTGGCTTTGGGTATGTATGTGTAGTGACATAGAATTGGTCAGCATAGCACTGGTTGCTGGTCGGGAAGGGGATCTGCAGCTACAGCAGCCCTGACTGACAGCAGGTCACGTGATAGACCGGAGAGAGGGATGTAGGGGAAAGGTTACGGAAGGGGTACATCGAGAACCTGTTAGTAGGGTCCAGAAGAGGGGCGTGGCCGGGGCGGAGCCAGGCCACGCTGACAGTATAAGAGGGGCCCCGGGAGGGGACCTCGAGGCTGTCGTTTGTAGGGGGATCTCCGTCGTGCTGCCGGAGTCTTCGTCACCGTCTCCGTCTTCACCATCTCGGCGTCGTCAGTCAGGCAGTCTACCAGATGCCATGACTGGGAACCGTAGTTACTAAAGTGTGAACTGTTAAGGCTGTTAATAAACAGGGTGCCTCCTACTCTTAAGTGTTTCTGAATCAGTCATTACATATGTATTTATGTTAAACTTTTTTCGCTCTGTACGTAGCTAACCGTGCTAATCGGAGGTGCAGGAAATTATGTCCTCTTGACCTGATGACCTCTTGACCTGCCTACACCCATTAACTTGTGAACGTGGTAGCTGAATTAACACCTAATTTTACAAAGTGGCCATTATCATAGTACCTTAATTTTATATAGCATCATTCATGCTAATTGCATCTATTTTCACCAAGGCTTACAATATTCAAATCCTATATACAGCTACTACCAAGCAAATGAAACCCCCGACTACCAAGCAAAATAAAAAAGCACAAATAAACAAATAAAGAAATGGCACCAAAACAAAAGGCACAAACAACAACAAAACAAAAGGCACGAACAACAACAACAACAAAATTATCACATTGGAGAAATTTGTCTCATCAGGTCGCATCCCAAAATATTTCCAGTCAGTGACATCACTTCAATCGTTCTCCCCGTGCAATCTCCTGTGGCTCATTTGTGAATCGGCTGTCATTGAAGCTAACTGAGTCTCGCTGTGATTGCTGCACTTTTGTCTCTCTGTATGATAATGCCCAACTTGAAAACAATTGCCCTTTTAATTACGGCCACAGAGACTGGCTGACCCAAAAGCTGTCGGGAGAAGAGTACTCCACGATTTCATTTGGCTCCGCGGGGGCGGCAGGGTCAGTATTGAGTGCCATGCAATCATGTCCCAGCCACTCGGCAAGTCGCGAGCAGCTGTGATGGGACCCGTGGCTGCGAGAGAACACTTTATTTAAACCCAGACAGCTCGCCTCTCGCTAAAGCTTCAGTTCACTAGAACATCGATAGGTGCTTAAACAAGTATGTAAGGCTGTGTCTGAACTTTGCACGTGCACGTATACACATGCACACGACAACACAAAAGCAACGAGAGAGCAAAGTGGTTCACAACATTGGATGGTGCTCATCCCTGTGGGTCAACATTCCACATCCTTATGACGCGAACCAGTATATTTAAATAACTGCAGGCATTTTCCTACAGGTTGGTATTCTGTCGACCCTAGAGCGATGGCTCATCTGGTGCGTTGGCAGTGGTGCACAAGGACAAATAATAACAAAAACCCAAGACATGAATCAATGACATTGTGGCCTTAAAAGGAAAAGTATATTATAGGCAACGTTTCAGGCAATGTCCCTCTTCATGGCACATAAATAGACAGACTAGAGAGGGAGAGCGGTAGAGTGGATAGAGGGCAAACTAACCAGGCATGGTGGAGACAATGATGGCATGACCAAATACAATTTCTGACTCAATCGGTGAATAAACAATGCCACTCAAGGCAGTGACATGGCCCAGCGGTAACACGTTGCTTACTGAGGTTTTCTGTTCAAGCCGACGGCTGCCCTGGTTGACACTACGGGTGTACTAGCTATAAATATCCGCCGTCTGCTTCTCGGAGGACGTTAAAGATCTCGTGACAATATGTATAAAAAAAGATCTCGTGACAATATGTATAAAAAAAGAGCTCGCCACGCATGCGCTCCGGCGTCATGGTCCAGATTTGCCAAATTTGTGCCGCACAGGTACTGCTGCCATCAGGCGGACTCCTAGGCCGAAGAGCTAACTCCGTCTGGTTGGATTTACTGCGATGAGGCGTCGTGTGAAGGCGCTTCCAGTTGCTGAGGCATTTAGGTAAACGGTAAAGATGCAGCGGTGGAATTGATCGTGCCACTGCTGGCGGAAGGGGCCTCCGCAGGATGGAGGTCTTTCGTCTACTCTTCCACGCTGACCAGACCGGCTGGGAATGGGACTCGAGGCACTGAGTGCTCCGTTGGAATGTGAATCCCCGTTCCTTTACCCTTGCACCCCCCCCCCCCGCCCACTTCTGTCGGCAGGTGCGGCGCCCTGCACGTGGGGGACCGCATCCTCTCGGTGGACGGCAGCGGCGTGGAGCAGATGAGCGTGGAGGAGGCGAGCGTGCTGCTCGCCTGCTCGGGCAGCTCGGGGGGCGACGGCATCAAGCTGGAGATCCTTCCGTCGCTCGCCCCCCGCCCCACGGGCACGGCACCGGACTCCGGCGTCGGTGAGCGGCGTGCGAGCGGGGCGCGGGTGGTCGACGGCGGCGGCGTTTCTTGTGACCCCGGTTGAAAGCGTGCCGGGCCCTTCCCCCCCAAACACCGTGCCAGAGCCACGCTGAGCCTCACGCTGAGTTTGGTTGCATTCGCAACCGATGGTTGGGCGAGGTCCACACAGGTGGTGATCTGCGATAAAATTTTGCGCCATTAAGACCCTCCACCGCCCGACACAGCCGAACAAAAAATTAAATCGTCACTTGGTGTACAAAAGAAACGTTGGACCTGCCGATTGTGATTGGTTCGGCTCGCCAGAAAGTTTGAGAGCAAGTCTCACAGCCAGATTTAGCAAATTGTATCCATTACATGGAACTGCACCAAGTATCTTCAGGAAAATCCAGGGAGTCAACCAATGAGCACGGTTCGCTACGTATGGTGTGAAAGAAGTTCAAAATATGTACATAAAACACAGAAAGTCAAGGCTTCCTGGATTTTATTTAGACAAAGATTTGGCCAGATTTTTACATGAACTAATTTAAAAAAATCTATTTTTCAATGGTAATATTGACTGCATAGCCCTACACACTTCATGTTGAGTGCGTGTGCTGTGTGCTGTGTACGGAGGATGGTAATGTCTATTTCTGCAGGTCCACTGTCTTTCCCAAGGGATTTCTCCAGGCTCTCCCGCTTCTTTCCATGGGAAAAATAAATCTCAAAAGTGTACAACTTTGTGGAGCGTTAACAATATATCTCTCATGGCTAGAGTAATCCTTGCCATATGAATGCAGAGTTTCCGTCAGTGGATCAGGGCTATACTCAATAGTAAAATGTCACCCTACACTCATGTAGTGGAAAGCCACTTTGGCTTTTTTGATTTTCTTAATAAGAGATGCAGTGAGGTTTCACAGTATCCTCAGAGATTGACAGAAATCTGCTTGCTCTGTTGCCTCCTCAGACGTATCTTATTGCATCTCCAGGTAGGTGGTGGCGAGATGTGAATTCCCTTGCCTGGTATGCAGTAGGTTGTGGGTTCGATCACAACACTGACACCAACTGTATATTTAGAGTTTGCATTTTCTCAAAGTGGTCGCGTAGATTTTTATCCGGGTCCTCCGGTTTTTCCCTCCACATTTATAATCGACGTGCGTTTAGAGTATTTGACTGCTATGGCAAGGCCCCTTCAGAAAAAGAGCTACATAGCTCAGTGGGCCTTGCCTGGTGAAATAAAATAAAAAAAATAGATGCCTACCATTGGCTTCATCTGTGTGTGACCCGCCAACCCCGCCTCTCAGTCACTGGATCAGAGACGTGCGCCACCACACAAAACGTTCGTGACAACGCTTACAGCGACGCATCGCCACAGGGCTCAGTGTGCAGAGTCTACTGTAATTAGCGCTTCTATTTGAACGTAAAATTACAAAACACATCACGTATTTTGTGCTTTCATCAACTATCAAAGGTGTACATGTATAATCACTCACCCATATTGCTCATTTGTTGTCTTGATTATGGTAATTCAAAATGTGTTTATTTTGCCTCATACCAGTTTGCTTAGTAATCAGTTGTTAATTGAAAGAGTTGCGTGCTTCCCCACAGACTTACACACACGTACAGACGCACAAAGCAGTGCAACTGCACTACAATCGCAGTGACAAGGGTTCAATTCCTGGATATTCGTATACACCACTCGAGATTAGTACTTTATGCTTGTCTGGAAAATTCCCGAGGTCGACTCAGCCTTAAGTGAGGCTGCCAGGCGTGATGCTTGCCCACTCCACCTTCTCATATAAGCCATTCGCATTTTCAATGCAGCTTGCAAAAGTAATATTTAAAAATACTTTTTTTTTAAAACACGCTTTTATGAAATGTACCGTACTAGTAGTAATGGAAGAACTCCACGACTCCAGGAAGTGGCCCCGAGGCTTGCCACAACGTAAGGTACCGTGGGCAATTACAATCAACGTGAGTTGAGCGTGGACAATTAGACCCAAGCCGAAACATAATATAAAAAATATTGTTTAAAAATATATATTTTACATTTTTAATGATAGAATATAGTATTGTCATCAGTATGACATACGTATACCAAGTTTGCAGTCGATACGACATTGGGAAGTGGGTTAAAATTGAGTTACAAGATTTGAGGATACGACAACAGACAGAGTTGAGGATACAACAGACAGAGTTAAATAAAAGCGTGTAAATAATAATAATAAAAAAGTGCTTTTGTCAGGACATTTGTCACAACGGTGTACAAGCGGTGTACAACTTTTTCTTTTCATAAATGCAATCCTCGAAGCTAAATTGTAGCCTAATTGTCGAATGGGTGGCCACAGCGGTGCTGCGCATCAGCGATCGTTATCACTGCCACTGGGAGGGGTGGAGGGGGAATGGAGTTTCTCGTAAGTGGGCCACAAAGGGTGACGATGTTCCCAAAGGTCAGGGGAGAAGGAGCTCTTTAGATGCAAAAGGAGGCACTTGAATTAGCAAGAATCAGCTAGCGCGAAATTTTTGACATGTTCTCCCAATTGGTTTGGCCCATTAGATGTAAAGGCTGATAAAAAACAAAAAGTCTCATTATCCATATCTGCCACCACTTTATTACATTTTCACTCGGTGTTTTTTTTTATTCCAACGGTTGCCTCGTGGCTACATTCAGAGCTTGCTCGGGGCGCATTGTCGGCAACGGTATCCACAAGGATGCATTTCAGGTGCAATTATTCACGGCAGGTTGCCCATACGTCGCGACGTTCTCTATAAGCCTGGTATTGGAGGTATACATTTTTTTCTTATTTCCACCTCGAATTTGTGCTGCTTAATCAAGGAAAACTTGGTCATGTGTGAGAGAATTCGGGATGCACACGCTGGCATTTGTGATTATTGCCCAAGTGCTGTCAGTGCACCCCAGGGTATTTAGAGTTGGGCGCATTGCCAGTAACGTTTTTGTTTTTAACCAGAAAATAAAAAAAAACTTGACTGCCGGATTTATTTGCAGACTCGGTGCAGATGGGTTGAGACCACAATCATCTACCAAGCAGAGTAGTCGGAGATAAGAACATTTTGACTAATTGTCAAACGTGTTGTTGTTGTTGTTACACACGTTGGCTTATTCGATTTGAAGGGTCTCCGTATTCAAATAAGATTCGGCTGCTGTTGACTTCCTGCAAACATTTGGTCCTCATTTTATGCAACAGTTTGAGGAATGATGGGCTTATGTTAACCCTTGACTGGGATTTTAGCTCGCAGAGCTTCCGTCTGCAAGTCATTGTTGTGATGCATTGTGTGACGTGGATTCTGATGTTTCCACTCTTAGGTCAGGGATGCAATCGGTTGAACTGTGCACCGTCCAAATTTGAGAACACAGGGCAACTTTGTACTCTTCTTTTGACCCCGTGTACATTATTTCCCCTGTGTTATAAACGCTTGGGGTGGCTTGGGGTAATATCAAAAGTATTTGCCGAAAGCATCGGCACAACAGGAATGCTACAGAAATCGCCAATGCACACGTGCAAAATCTTCTTGGCAACACCCGCTAAAGTCAAACGTGTCTGGCATCGGCAATTGGGCATGAACGTCTGTATTCGGTGCTCCCTTTTAATGCCAGCTTCAGGGCCCCGTTTCGGGGCCGCCATCCCAAACTAAGGCTGCCGCGGGCAGCCAGCCCGTTTGCAATGTTCTTAAAGGAAACCATGAACTGTTTATAATTTTATCAGGTAAGGACCCACTGAGCTATCTAGCTATTTTTCAGTAGCGACCTGGCTATCACAAATGAAAGCTCAATGAAGTATTTCCAGATCATGTGGACATTTATAGCAGCCAAATACTCTTAAACGCACGTTGATTATAAAATGCGGAGGGAAAAACCGGAGGACCTGGAGAAAAATCCACGCGATCACGAGGAGATAGATGCGCAAACTCCAAATATACCGCAGGCGTCAGGGGCGAGATCGAACCCAAGACCTCCTGTATCCCAGATGAGGCAGTTAACATATCGCCACCTCGGCGCCTTTTGTCGGGAGCGCCAGTGCATGGCGGCTAGCGTGCGCCGACTTCCAAGGAGATCTAGGGGCAGTGCAGCAGTGGAACATCTAGGCGGGTATATACCTCGCGTGAAATGGCACCGTTCAACGTGAGGCCCCTGCTGTTTGTCTTCTGCTCCGCAGACGAATCCTCACGGGTCGCGTTGCACACGCCGGTGTAACTAATTTGTCCGTGAATTGAGCCATATGAATTGCTTATCGGTTTTTTTTTAGCGTGCGGCCTGAGCAATGGCTTGTGGTGTAATTGCATACGCGTTCCCCAGAGGGGGTCACAGCGCCCTGGCACGTCTTCAGCTTCCCCATTTTGAACCCGACTTGTTGCTGCTGTAAAAGGCAGCGAAGCACAATTAGATACGTACGGTGCGGAATAAGTTCAACATACATATGTACATGTGCCTTACTGCTCAGCTTTAAACTAAATAATTTCTTTCGGACTTGAACACATTCATTACTTTTAAGGCAATGCTTGCAATTAAGAGGTTTAATAAGCGCCTCAAATAATGATTTCCTAATTTGCAACACCCTGTTTCACAGTCATCATTAGTCAACAAAGCATAACTTTACAAAATACAAGTACGAGTTATGCTACGATGGTCTGAGACTCTAGATTGGTAATTGTTTATCACAAACACGTCTGCATATTGTGCACATTACTCATGCACATAAAGCGCCTAATAATTGCCTCATTTGAATACATTAGGACAACATAGTGTTGCTTCGTTGCAATGTTCCTTTTGTTCCCCATTATTTATACATCACTGTCCAATTTGTTTTTGTCCAGTGCTCATTGTATACAGAACGACAAATATTTTCGGACTCAGCCATGTGCTACACTGCGGTGCACATTAAGTATTATTTATCATGCTTAATGTCATTAGGTCTACACGTATGCAAATACACTGATAAAATACGCCATTCAAAAAAAGCAGTTAGTTTAAACATAGTGTGGTATTAATTTCAAAACGTATTGC